GCCCAGATATCTTGTTCCTGAGCATACCGTTAGGCCAGTGTTGGTTGAGGTGTGTACTTGTCCCGGGGCACTGGATCGTAGGCCCGTGTGACAGTAAACGTCTCCACCTTTGTATGAATCTCTCCTAACGATTGACACCAACAGGAATGTTCAAGTACCCTGAGCTGATCACCGAAACTTCCCTCGAAGGCGAGGAGGAAACATTCGAGGGAGAGGAAAAGACTCTCTTCCTGGGTTTCATTCGAAAGATGCTCCGATGGAGACCGGAAGACAGGCCATCGACTGGGCGACTTATCAGGGATCCATGGCTCAATCTCCCAGTCGACTCGGACGAATAAGACGAAGCAGAAGAAGCAGAGTGACCATCGAAGCCCAGTGCGAAGCTGTACACTGCCGCTCCTTCCTTCGCGGGGATATAAGTTCCAATGCCTGCCATTGTTTTCAACAAACAGACAGCGTGGTCTACTTTGTAAGAGCATTGCACATTCTGCTCCTACCAAAACATCGCAGGTTCAATTCCTCGTCGATGTGCGCTTTTCTCCGGAAGCTGCAACTTTGAACCTGGTGCCGGGGTTTGCACTCGCGCAAGGCGAGGCAACCTTTGGTAGTTCGCGATCGTCAGTCTTGGAGAAAATGTGCGGGTGCGCTACAGTGGGATCTGGGGGAAGTAGATCATGCTGTCTAAACCTGTCTGGCCTTTTTGTTCTTCTTTTTTTTCGCTCCTTTCCTTCCATGGCCCCCAACACCGGCGAGTCTTGGATACTTGCCGTGGGATTTTCATCGATGTTTGCAAGATTTTGCATAAGTTAAACGCTTTTTATCTCGTAAAGCAGCTTGGCACGGTGCCATGAATGCTACACAGAGCCAGGTGCTTGACACCTCTTCCTCCGATTATTTCCATTGTCACTGCAAGCCATTCCCACTTAGAGCAAGACCCGGGTACAGTCGGAGCAAACCTTCCCCCACAGACGATGAGGTCGGGTATAAGACCCCCTTCCTGAACTCTCATCGTCGTGAGTATCAACACAAGGTCGGTCTGATAGAAGCACCACTTACAGCTCATTGAATGTCTCTCATCTAAACAACCAAACACCTAAGAAAAAACACCGCACCTTTTGGCACCATGCCCTTCTTCCAAGCCACCCCCTCCATATCTATCTACTACATAGACGAAAGCCCTTTTTCCTGTCACTCTCCTCCAAAGTACACAGCCCTCCTCATCCCAGGGATAACCTGCGACCTGCACGACTGGAACTGGCAAGTTCCCTTTCTATTGGAGAAGGGCTTCCGCGTAATCACCCCTGACCCCCGCGGGCAAGGCCGTTCTTCCGCCCCTTTGCCCTCCGAAAACATCACTTCCTACCCCGGTCCCGATGCTTCTCCCGAGCAAATAGACTACTACCCACAATCCACCGCTTCCGATCTCCTCGCCCTCCTCACCTCCCTCGATATTACCTCCAATGTCCTCATTATCTCCCACAGTCTCGGGACCTGCGCTGCCCTCCAGCTCGCCGTCCACCACCCTTCGTTAGTGTGTGGAGTAGTATTGATAGATCCACTGCACTGTATGCCTTCCTCTCTCTGCGACCAGCTGTTCCCTTCCCCCGAACAGGCAACATCCGCCATGAGAGATATGCTGGGTTCAGGAGGGGAGATGTACCCCTCTACCGTACCAGGTTGGCACAGGGCCTGGATAACCCGGCGAGGAATGGCGCAGGACCCGAAAATTACGGCGGCGATGGTTAGTGCGGTTTGGACAGACAAAGATGGGCTGGGGAGGAAGGAGGTTTCTGTCGAAAAACATGGTGGGAGGAAGATCAAGTGCCCGAGGTTGACGGTGGGGAATTCGGAGATGTGGGTTGCTACTGATGCTGAGGAGGGGATGCAGGGAGACAAAGATGAGGTGGTGGTTATTACGGGGGTGGGGCACTGGCTGCACCAGTTGAAGAGTGAGGAGTTTAATGATGTGCTTGGGAAGTGGTTGGAGAAGGTTGGGTTGGTCAATGAGGTTGCGGCATCAACAGCGGGTAGTCAAAGGGAGGTTCATGGGGGCGAGGAACGGTAAAGGGGAAGACGGAACACAGAAGAGGGGAGAAGGGGGAGGAAAAGTGTCACGATAAGTGTTGAATCTCGGCTCACTTACGCCTTGTATCTAGTACCTAGTGTGCTCTATACATCTCCGTACGATCTAGCATGCCTGGTGTCACTCAGAAAAGGAACAGGAAAGGAAGAAAGGGAGTATCTAAGCTCGCCACTGCTAACTACAAAGAGCAGATGGGGTATAGACTGGTCACCACATGCCAGAAGAAGACTGAACTTACAGCTAGGAGAGTGATGAAGACGCTATGCTCCGGCTGCACCAACTTGAAGTAAACTTCGTCCGAGCACCAAGCCACTCAGCATAGCACTCGAAGAGCAGCCTAGCAGTCTAGCAATCTAACAAGAGTGGTAGTGAGCGGGTAGCCTTGGGGAGCATCGTCTAAATAAGCCCGAAGAGAGTAAGCTTAGCTCCCTCTACCCCCTAGAGCCTAGAGGACCAGGCAGCAAGAGAGACAGACAGACGACTATACCGTCCCTGAAGTCATCACGGCCAACCAGAGAGCGTGCACAGCGAGAAGAAGAGGAGAGTGACAAAGGAAAATGGAGCAAAAAAATGAACCGACCACGCTGGGATTCGAACCCAGAGCCTTTACCAGCAGTGTTACCCGGAAAGTAACGCGCTACCATTGCGCCACGCAGCCTGTTATCAACCGAATGGCCATTGTTGGAAAAACGGTCTGGATCTTTTGTTCATGTTGCTGCGGAATTAATGGCGATGCTGTGGTGGCTGTGGCTGTCTTGTTGAAATTGCTGGCAGGATATATGGCGCGCGGTTTCACAGAGATTGTCAATGAGTTGGTGGGCAGTTGCGTGCAATGGAAATTTTGGGGGCAAAAAACAACTCGAAATCAGGTGGTAAGTCGAGTCGAGGACCTGCGAAAAAGACAAATAGACAGTGCGGATTCTACAATAAAAATCCCTTTTCAAGGGCCGAGAAGAATCTGGCTGGCTTCTCGACTGCTAATCATAATTGCTGCATGGCCCGCTGTGCTCTGTGCTCGTGGGAGTTGTCCATACAACCTGAAGAATGATCTGACTGTCAAAATGACAGAAATCCTGGACACACGATCCTTTTCTTTCCCAAAAGAAAACCAATCTCCTGTGTGATACCAGGACCGGGAAACATGTAAACGCCATGTGGGCTCGTGACAGAGATAAAGAAAAAAAAAAAAGAAAAAACCAAACGCCAATGCCAACGACTAAATGCCTTATCTCGCCACTCTTTACAACCCGGAACTGGCAGCGCTCTCTCCAAACTTGACTTCCTCCTCAGGGACACCCACCCCCATGGACGTCGAGCTGATCTGACTAACCACTCTTGGCCGGTCCCGCTGAGCCGCAACGCTCATGCCGCCAGCTCCCGTAGCGCTTGTGGCCACGCTGGCAGCAACACTCGTCGTGGTGCTGACACTATCGCTCCTAGGTCTGCCTCCAAGTCGAGAGCCGCTGCCGCTTGCTAATGTCCCGTCTCCGGTGGCACTAACATCACTTCCTCTTCGCTCACGAACCATCCTCTCAAGCTCCCGGACCCTCTTCTTGAGCAGCTCATTTTCCTGCTTCAGTGCCTCCACACGTTCGCGATGTAAGGCAGCTTCTTCGTAGCGAGCGGTAGCAGGTATTAGACCGGGAGACAGCTCGCTCGGCAATCCACTGGCTGCTGATCCTGGTGTTGCCATGATTGATGTGCCGCCCGAGAGAGGGATTCTGTGTGCTGAGAAGTAACTGGAAAACTCGTTGGCGTAGCTCGAGGTTGGTGGAATTCCACCCGGCGCTGGTGAGCCTGTCCTGCTGCGTCTCGACGCTGAGCTGCCCTGTCGTGAGAGAGCTACACTTGACATGGCGCTTGGGTGCGTGGGGATCGGGCTGGGCCGGATCGGAACTGGGGACGATATTCCGGCTAGAGATGCGGCCGAGACAGAACCAATATTACTTCTTGTGCTAGAGTTTGAAGATGTCCGGATATGTCGGCCGCCAGATGGACCGAGCGACGGTGTGGGATCGATGCTGGTTGTCGAGGATGCATTGGAGAGGACGGACTCGTTGTGGTGGGCGCGTAGAATACTGAGTTCGCGGGTAAGACGATTAACCTGGATAGCCTCGAATTAACATCAAGGATATGCGTGATACAAAAGCTTATGGTAACTCACAACTGCCTCTTGCTCCTTTTCAAGCTCTTGATGAAGATCAACCGCTGTCATCGGACGCGGATGTCGAACGGGACCAGGCCCGGGTCCTACACCGGTGTTGTCTCCCGTCTGAGTGGCCGAACCAGTTCTTGATAATGGAAAGACCGGGGGCGGCATGGCAGCGGGACTGATGGGGTGGTTGAGGACGGCTTCTTGGTTGGACGGCAGGATGTTCAACGTCGGCGAGTTCGGTACTGGCTGTGGGGCCACTTGCTGCTGCGAAGCTCTACGGGATGATGTCGCGAGATGATGGGGAGACGCGGGAACAGAGTTAAGATCGGGCATGGTGGACGATCAATTAAGCGCGATGGCTTATTCACGGATCGGAAGTTTCGCTCCTGTTCCTAATCCTGTGTTACGAGGGGAGAGCGCGAAGCTGTATGTACACAGCAACGGAAATCACAATCGGCTGAGTTAGCTAGCACGGGATGCAAGCTCCGTCATATGCACCTAAAGGCGTGATCTTTTCTATTAAACACGCGCCAACTCGGCTATCCACGCGTTTAAATAAATAATCTAGGCATATATTTTTTTATATACCTTTAATATTTATTTAAACGTAGAAAAAGCTAAATTAGCAGGTATTTAATTAAAAAAAATCACGCTTTTAAAGATATAAGTTTTGTGACGGCAGAGCCGTCAGGGCATACACTACAGGGAGTTACAGGGGTTGGGTGCACTTGTTTGGCAGAACCCACTTGGCTGGTTACGGGACACAGAGCACTAGGCCACACCACCTGATAGCCCACAAAGGAAGCCAGGAATTCACTGGTTCCTTTTTGGTTCTTCGTCAATAATACAACGTTATCACTACCACCTAATGTCACGAATTAGCATATGCACGGTGCCACGCACCAGGACTGACCCACCCGGGCGCCACCGACCAACCAGGGCACAGAGCAGGTGTGCTCTGTGGGACGGAAGGGCTTGGCGCAGAGCAAGTGTGCTCTGCGGGTCGGAAGGGCTTGGCACAGAGCAAGTAGAAAACAAAGGACTATATAGACGGGGAGGTTCGAGCATCCAGAGGGATCTCGAGACTCCCCAGCAAGCAACCGCTTAAGATCACACAGATAGTCCCTACAATCTACTGCATCTCTGCCTTACCTTGTGAGGACTACCTTCGAGACATTCTATTGTCGTGCACCCTTTGGCTGCACCAAACCACCATACCTAGCACCACCTTCAAAAGGATCCCTTATCAGAGAGAGTCTGGTTACGGGGTTTGTCACATATACCTATAACAGTTATTAAAATGCGTGGAGAGCTGGGTTAGTAGGTATTTAATTAAAAATAAATGCTTTTAATCTCTTTCTATATACTTATAATATTCATTTAAACGCGTGGAAGGCCGGGTTAGCGGGTGTTTAATCGAAAAGATCACGCCCTTATCTAGGTGCACAAGACGGAGCTTACATCGCGTGGCTAAAGATGAGCAAAGGGGACAGATGGGGCAACTAATGGATTGATAAGAGCAAACTGTTCGATTGTGCTGCTCTCAATGAATGTAAAGGAAACTCTTATCCGCGCCATCCGCCAATAATAAACAAAATACTTGCATGATAATGCTTCCGTGCATTGTTGTCCCGAAGATGGGTTTTGGGGTGAAAGTGGTTACAGTGGATGCATCTCGGAATCGGGGGAAGCTTGTGGATTGACACATCGCTGCAAGGCTGAAATGGTGCTGAATGATTGGTGCGCTCAGAGCTATAGCGGGCCGCATTTGCCAAGTGATGCAAGCGGGGCTCTGTGAGACGCGCTGCACTTATTAAATTTGAGAGCCATGATGTAATGGTTCTTGATGGTCAGAAAGTTGCGCCGGCTGAATTCCATTATCAATGAGCTCTGATGTCAACGGGCATTTGTATCAGTAAGCCCACAAAGTAGATCTCGTATAAGTATCCTACGGTGATTCCCCAACCAGAAGAGTCCCTAACAAAGAAACACTTCTTTCAATCAAAGCACAACGAAGCAAACACACTTGACCCTTTGCATCTCAACACTTCCACATATCTCAATTCTCCAAAGAGACAACAAATCACATCCATCATGTCTGGATCCGGTCGTCAATCTCCCTCTCCCTCTCAGCAGACTGGCAAGCAGCTGCATGACCCCCCCGCTGGCGGACAGGGTGTCGACGATTCTTCCCACAAAGACCAAACCAACAAGGACCAGCTTGCAGTGAGTGACGCATAATATGATTCCCAATCTCAAATCGTTCCCCGAGAAAGCTAACACCGAGATTAGAACCTTGAGTCGAACCCCAAGTGGCCCATGGACGCCGAGGTCGAGAAGAAGTTCGCCAAGAACACCAAGATGGGAGACGAAAAGCAGGAGTAAACTTGAAGGTTTTGCATTTTGATACGGATGGATTGTACGATTAATGGACGGCGCATTACATTGGGACGGCATGAAGCCTGGGCATAACCATGATAGTTCCGTAAAGATGGAATCATGAGCATAGTTTTTGATTTGACATTTTCCTCATTTGCTCAAATGTGCATCATCTTCAACACGTGTAGGCATGTGAGACAAACAGTTGGAGACATGACCCCGCAGTCTGTGGGTGCGCTGAGCTTGAGTGATTTCCCCTTCTCCTCCACCAGATGAACACATACTTTTGGACAGTACTGTAGTTCTCATTTACTCAGACTGTTTTCTTTAGATTAGCCAAAGGGAAAATCGAGATTCCGAAGTGTCAAACTATCACAGGCAAATAATTGAAGATTGCGTGCACATCATCGCTATTGCCTGATGCTGTTCCGATGTCGCCAGAAAAGGGACGGAAGCTTTCACATGCTCGCACGTCATCACAGAAACTTGGCTGAGGTGTCCCTGAAATGGAACGCAGGCCAGGCCGTGTCACCCAAAAGCAGCCACAATCTAGCGCGGATTCCAGGGGACGTCAAACCAGCCATCTGCCGCATTACAGTGGGCGAATGACGGAAGCCCCCAAGTGTGGCCCCGCACAGCCACACTTGACACGCACCACCACCTTACCTTCACGTAACGGCTGCCCCTCGCAGATCAGCCGATGACGACACTGATGTCGCCTCGGAGCCCCTCCTTCTGTCTGTTCCGCTTTCGAGCTCATTCCACCTGAATACATCATCTTGGCAGCTACCTACCCATCCACCGCGCGTCCTCTTTAAAATCTCCTGCAGCAAGGCGATCCCTCTCTTGACTCGAAGCTCTTCTCTTTCTTCATTCCAAACTCAAAACAAATTACTTGCATCGCATTCAACCACTCCAGTTGAATAATCATCAACCAAACAATCTACCCCACAAACATATCAAGCACAAACCTACACCAACTGCCCATCATGTCCAGCACCGTCGTCGTCAAGAACATTGATCCCAAGACCGAGGACAAGGAGGTCAAGGACTTCTTCAGCTTCTGGTAAGCTTCATTCCATTCCTCGGTGTTCCTATCTCAACACCCTCACTGACATCTGCCC